TACTTGGCTAACATTGGTTCAGTTTCTTAGGCATGGTGAACCACGTCAGAGGTCAAAGGGACACCCCGCCGCTCATCCATCACGAGGCACACAGTGAAAGGGATGTTTGTCATTTTGCAGGGTTGATTGGATTGAGAATATCCATTTTAGTCTTTGATTGAACAGTACATGTCTTGGCTTATAGTTGCTAAATTCTATGATTGTACAGTGTTCCCATTATCTACAGTGACCTTCCCACGAGCTTCCTATTTTGTCCATGGATGAACAGGGGAAGGTCACAAATCCTCCTCTATAAATATGATGATATTGGATAGAGGAGGGGATCCAATTTTTCTCTCACTAAAGTTCACTCTTGAGATAGAGTAAGAAATATAATTCGGACTGAGGAGATTTACCCGGTCTAGGTCATACTTTGTGTTCTTGTTGTGTGTTTTATATTACGGGTCGAGTGTGTCCAGGTCAAGCCCGGTTAACCCACCCCGCTATATTTACACCATCAACTATTATATTATTATTATTATTATTATTATTATTACTACTACTACTATTACTATCATTATTACTACTATTACCACTATTATTATTACTATTACTATTAAGATTATTGTTGTTGTTAGTTTTGTTAATATTATTATTACTATTAGTATTATGATTATGATTATAATTATTATTACTATTGTTATTATTATTACTATATTTATTATATTAATATTAATATTAACATTATTATTTTTTCTATTATTATTACTATTATCATTATTATAGTTATTATTATTATTATTATTATTTCTATTGTTACTATTATTATTAATGTCTCTATTATTAATATTATTACTATTATTATAAGTTTAATAATAATAATTTTAGTTTTAATCTAAATCAAATTTATATCAGATCAGATCCAATCAGATTAGATTAGATTATATCAGATCCAATCAAATCAGATTAGAACAGACAGAAATTTCAAAAAATCTTATCAGATCAGGAGAACTGCGAACAGGTCGCAGCCTAACCTATGTTTCAAAAAGTATGGATAAAAAACTAATTTGTATTAATCTAAAATGAATGGGAAAAAGTAAATTTTCAAATTAAAAAAATAATAATTACACAACTGCATTATGAAGAAAAACTAAAGCAATGTATAAAAAACAAAATCATATAACAAAAAATATAACTAGTAAAAGGAGTCGGAATATATAAAGTAGGATAATATTTATTTTAACATTTTTCAAAAGTATAATATTTATTAAAATATTTTCTTTTCCAACTTTTTCCCGAGTTTTTTAATTTGTTCCACGATTTTCTTGTTCCTTCCAAATTTTCCAATTCTTTTAATCCTTTCCATTCTTTCTAATTTTTTTCCAACTGCATTATGAAGAAAAACTAAAGCAATTATAAAAAAACAAAATCATACAACAAAAAATATAACTAGTAAAAGGATTCAGAATATATAAAGTAGGATAATATTTATTTTAACATTTTTCAAAAATATAATATTTATTAAAATATTTTATTTTCCAACTTTTTTCCGAGTTTTTTAAAATTTATTCCACTGTTTTGTTGTTACTTCCAACTTTTTCAATTTCTTTCCATTCTTACTAACTTTTTCCCTTTCTTCCAAAATGGTCTGTTTTTTTTTTTTCAAACCTAGAAAAGGGTCTCGTGCATTTCACTTTTCTATGCAAATGGGGAGCGCACTCCGGCCAGATATGGCAATTCTTTTAATATTCACATCCAGCCAATCGTTGAAGGAAGAAGATGCATCTTGGAAAATATGTTTTCATCTTCCCCTTCATGTTAATCTCGTCAAAGAGATTAATTTCTTCTTTTCTCACTTGCTATATATAGACACGCAATGACGAGATTCAATCTGCCTTCTGCTTCTCTGTTGCTCTCTTGAGAGCTGTAACATCTGAAAGGAGTCGCCATAGCCAATCATCAGGTTAGTATTTTTGTTTTTTTTTCGGTATAACCCTAACAAACTGACATCTCTTTGAACTCTTCGAAAATCAGACTTCCATTGTTGAATTTGAGCTGCTTCAACTTTGCTCCATGAATTGTGTGCCGTGTGGTAATCGTTTTTTCCTGTTTTCCGAATTCCGATTTGTTCTGTTTTACCTAATGTAGCCTTTGTTATTCTAAATTTATATAATTAAGAAGTAAAATCTCAGATAACCGCGCAGTAATGGTGTGCAGATGCTACAAAGTTTACCTATTCATTTGTTTAACATTGCTTTTTTATCATTGGCATGTAAACCTATTGGGAAAATTTTGGGGGTTGACCATGCAGCCCTGATAATTCTATGAAAGGATACCCTATTATTGTTCTAAACGTTTTGAATAGGGCCATAAAGATGAGAAGCGTAAGCTGGATGAGATTTTTTTTATTGAAGCAAAACGGGAAAGGAAAGGAAAAATATTGAACATTTACTCCGTATTATTTTAATAACATATGCTTCTGGAAACCTTGGACAAGGCCCAAGGGAGTAGAAGTAGAAGTAAAGGCGATTTGGACCTGGTGGAGAGTTTGTTTATATTGCAAAAAATACACAATCCCAGGGCATTCATCAAACTTCTGTCCCAAAAGATGATTTTTAGATTGTTGGTCAGAAATATTCTATTCATCCTGTTTTTAAGCCCGCGAAGACTACCTATGAAAATCTTTTAACAGAGGTGGATATTCCCCCATAAATATTTTTGATGCACTATAGTCATTGGAAAAACTAGATTCTCCTGCAGTATCATCCCTCCTGCATCCAGTTCATACTCCTTCTACTGTTGTTCACGTTCAATCTGTGAAATTTAGAATGAATTCTTCCGTTGAACATGGGGGAGAAACTGTTTAGGATACTAGTTAAGACCGGAGATGTGATGCATGCTGACCATTGAGGATAAAGACCCTGCTGCTATTGAAGCCGCTGCCAAACCAGCAAGGGAAAAACACTATGGCAAGGGAGACAATTTCTAATGAGTTTCCTGTTTTTCCAGTCGCACCTTTGATTGGTATTGATCATTGTTCTCTAACTCCATTCATTCTAATTCTAACATTAATTTTGGGGAAGTTAATTATGGCCTTCTTGGATATAATTTAGAAGTTGAATATGAAGAACATTCTTTCTCATGTAAATGGTACACCAGCCCATTGTTAAATGATGATGCACCTTCCTCTTCTAATTTGAGTGAGAAAGAAAATAATCTTTTGAAGGATACTCTAGCTGCTAATACCTGAGGAGGTGCTGAGAATGTTAAGAATCCTAAAGCTCCTAAGTCTAAGAAATCAGGCTAGGCTAAATGGTGTTGCACCTCTCTAATAATTTGCGCTCAGTCCTGCCAGCAAGTGTGCAACACACTTAGTTGCACACTTGCACCTCTCTAATACACACACACACACACACACACACACACACACATACGGTAAGTCTAAAATGACACCAATTACTTATACACCAGTTGCTTACACCAGTTCGTTTGGCAAGGGTGGGGGTGGGGTTGGGGGTTTAGGGGGAGGGTTAGGGGGGGGTAGGAACCGTCATTTTTACAAACGGAGCACCGTAGGTACCCCAAACGAACTGGTGTTAAAAATTGACACCAGTAGGACTGGTGTCATTTTAGACTTACCGTATATATATATATATATATATATATATATAGTAAGCCACTCAATGCCTTCCCCTCCATTAAAGGAGACCCTTAGAGAGGAAATACATTAAAAAAAGAAACAAAAAATCAGAGCTAATGCTAATTGGGATTGAAAATAAATCTTGGCCCATCTATCCTTACTCTGCCGTAAAAAGCAGCCACTTTAGCTACTTGATCTGCTTCATGGTTTCCTCATTGTAGTATAAATTGTATGGCATGATTGTAGTATAAATTGTATGGCATGATTGCTTTGCTCAATAAATGCATGTTTAGCTACGGTGTTTGGTCTTTGATCATGCCATTGCTGTTATATGCTCCTTTCAGGGTAAAGCTAGTAATATTAGCAGAACAAGAGGACACAAGATATTGAAATCTTCATCACAAGCACAAATTGAAGTACCTAACTTCATCAAACCCTTTCCATCACAATGTTTCCGTCTCTTGCAATTGCTACTACCATACCCTTTGCACATAATGCGGCAATCCATTTCAAACGACGTCCCACTTTGAGCACTCTGTGCATTTCTTTTTCAGGTTAGTTGTTCTGTTTTCCATGTCTATTTAAGTATTATCTAGAGTATATTCTTTCTCCTATGGAAATTTATGAAGCATAATCATGTAGCATATTCTGATATGCATGTTCATTCTGCTTGACTGTTCTTTTGTCTCTGAGTTGAGGGTCTCTTGGAAATAGTCTCTCTATTTCTAAGTAGGGGTAAGGTTTGTGTGCACTCACTCCTCCCAGACCCTACTTTTGTGGGATTTTACTAGTAGTGGCTTGTTGTTGTTGTTGTAATCATATATCATACTCTATAATATGAATAAACAACAACAACAACAACCCAGTTAAATCCCAAAAGAGTAGGGTCTGGGGAGGGTGTGTGTATGCAGACCTTGCCCCTACTCGAAAGTAGAGAGGCTGTTTCCAAAGAGACCCCCGGCTCAATGTCGAAAGTTGCATTGCTTGACCAACTGCTACTCTATAATATGAATAAGAAAAATGTAAAAAAATGCACAGAAACCCGCTTAAACTTTTTTGTTACATGAATTAAATGTTAGAGGCTGCACAACTCTTGGGAACATAGAGTTCATGCTAGAATGAACGTTTTTTGCTTGTGCCTCAGTCCTAGAGTGACTCACTCAAGATTTCCACATGAATTATGTTCAAGTTTTAGCCACTTAAGGAAACCTTACCTCAAGTGAACAACCCTAGTAACTAAAGAACAACCTCTTACTTACTAATACCAAAGAACAACCCTATAATTATTATTACTATTATTATTATTATTACTATTAGTATTACTATTATAGTTATTATTATTACTATTCTTATTACTATTATTATTATTATTATTTCTATTATTATTATTATTACTATTATTGTTTCTATTATTATAATTATTACTATTATTATTGGTGTTATTATTACTGCAGTTGCTATTATTATTACTATTCTTATTATTATTTCTATTATTATTATTACAATAATTTTTTCTATTATAATTATTATTACTATTATTATAACTATAATAATAATTTTAATTTTAATTTAAATCAAATTTATATCATATCAGATCCAATCAGATTAGATCAGATCCAATCGGATCAGATCAAATCCAATCAAATCAGATGAATCCAGATAAGATCTTCAAAAAATCAGATAAGATTAGGCGAACGGAATACAACCCAATTTATTATTTCTTCTTATTGTTTTATTCATCTATTATGTTATAATAAAAAACTAATATTATTTCATAAGAAAACAACATAGTATGAATTAATAAAAATAATGAATAAAATAAAGTATAAGTGGGACCCATGAATAATTAAATGAATAGATGGATGAAATGGGTTGTTTTAAAAAATTAGATATGTAAAGATGGATGATGTGAAGATGAGGTGGATGAGAGATAATGAATGGATGGCTACATTTTAAATTGAGGGATGTGGATGCTCTAAGACAATGAATTTGTGTGAGAAATGTGAGTTGAGATGGGGTCTTTTTAGGCTTTGGAGGTGATATAGCGGTTGGGAAGAAATGAAGTCTAGAAGCTTGCATACTGCTTTTTGATCGATTAGATTAACTTAGTTATTTAATCGATTAAATAAGCAAAATTTCAAATTTAGAAGTTGTGAAGACACTGTTTACTCGATTAAAAGGACCCGTTAATCGATTAAACTAGAAAATATTCAAATCCGGATGAACGTATCGGCTGTTTGATCGATTAAATAAAAATGCTTAATGAATTATTCAATGGTAAAATTCTTTTGTAACGGCAAATGAACGTCGGGATGATTATAGGTAAGTTGAATCCCTAGCATGCTCCGGAGTCCGGAATGTTTAGAATGAGTAAAATGGTTAGAGTAGGAGTCAAATGAATTATTTTGGGTATTCTGTTGAATAGGGGAGATAGAAACTGAGCCAGAAATATTTTATGTCAAGAGATGTATGGAATAATTCAAACAAGATATCTTTTGTGAACAAAAAATATTTGCGAGAGTGAAAAATAATCTGTCAAATAAAATGTGACCTGTTTTCAACTGGCTTAATAAAATCCTTTTCAACTGACCCGAGAATTATCTCTAAATTGACTCTAGAATATTTTTTGTGTGCAATAATAAAAATCATTCCAAGAGTAAATTAATTTCGTGTCATCCTAACAAATAATTCATACTCTGTAATACTAAAAAAATCTGGGAATCTTCTCTTCGCTTCAACTACTGAGAACTTTTTTTGACATTTTTGTAGGATTTCTTTTTTTGCATGGGATTTTGTCATTTTGTTTGCTCAGTGTCATGTTTGTTTCCAAATGTATGTTTGTCCATTATAAACTTTGTGAAACCAAGAGTTGTTTGAACTTGTGTCCAACATTTAGGAATCATTATTGAGAGCTTTTATTGTTATGCAGCTAGTCTGGGCACTTGCAGTGGTAGAGATAGATCAGTATATAAACCTTTCTCAGTAAGATGTCATGTGACCCATTCTCTTTATATACCTTCACTCTTCTAATTTTCAAATATTTGCCAATTACAAGTAATAAAAATAGAAGCATATGCAGGGCATTCAAACGAGCAAAGAAAAGATTCGGGAATTATTTGAAAGTGTTGAACTTTCTGTTTCTCCATATGACACTGCATGGGTGGCTATGGTCCCTGCTCCACATTCCCCAGAACATCCCTGTTTTCCTGGATGTTTGGATTGGGTGTTAAATAATCAGAATCAAGACGGATCATGGAGTCTTCATCATGCTTATCCCAGATTTCTAAAATATGTTCTCTTATCAACTCTAGCATGTGTTCTGGCTCTGAAAAGATGGGGAACCGGTGAAGAACAAATGAATAAAGGTATTGAACCACATTCCTCTCAGTGCAGTATATACTCTCTCTGACCCTATTTTATTCTCATCCTTTTCTTTTTTGCTTGCACCAAAATTATCTCCTCTTTCCTTTTAAGGAAAAGATTCCGCGGTTGGAATTCTTCTCTCCCCTCTGAATAATTCTCAAGCACAAAGTTTCCACTTTATTCAAAAACGTTTAAATTCAAAATGGGAGTTAAATAAGGGACATAAGGAGTACTTTTTTTATAATGGCTAATGGTCTTGGTTCATCTTATCTTTCAGGTTTACTTTTCATTGAGTTAAATTTCGCATCTGCAGCAGATAACAATCAAACCAACCCCACCGGTTTTGATATCCTATTTTCCGGGATGCTCGATTGTCTTAGTGCTTTGTCTTTGAAGCTTCGCTTAGACCCAAGAACCTTAAATACATTGCTTCATAAGAGGGATGCGGAGCTTCACAGGTATATCAGCAAAGTTTACTTTCCATAATTGAAATAGCTCTCTTATTATACGCACATACACACATGAATTAGTGTTTTTTACATGGTGTCTAGGTGGACCTATCAAGTTAAACTAAACATTGAATAATGAAGAAGCTAAAACATTACAAGCTTATGCGCATCACTCGTATCTAGTTAGATGCAACATTGATTGATTAAACAATCGAGTGGTTGAGTCCAAAAAGGCATCTTGTTATCTAACAAAAAATATTCCACTTTTTTTTTGCGATAATGATCAGGGTTATTTTCACTTTTGGTCTATGAATTTCATTTTTCCACTTTTAGTGCATGACTATGGATATCTTGGGTTATTTTCATTTTTGGTCTATGAATTTCATTTTTCCACTTTTAGTGCATGACTATGGATATCTTGCCACTCTCTGGCCTACTGATCACTTATATGCCCAATGCTATATCCTTATGAGTTTTTGCGAGATTAGTGATGTACATATAGACTATGAGCCCGGTTCCATGGCCACAGGAATCCAGTGGCCATGGAACCGGGCTCATAGACTATAGTGGTAAGAGATTATAGCTGTGCACCTAAGTGGGGGGAATTTGGGTATCAAAAGTGGAAATGAAAAAAATTTGGGACTTTAAAGTGAAAGATTTTCTTATCTATTTTTTCAATAGGTGCAAAGGAAATAGCTCAAAGGAGCTTGAAGCTTACCTTGCATATGTATCTGAAGGATTAGGATTGCTGCAAGACTGGGGAAAAACTATGAAGTTCCAAAGGAAGAATGGCTCTTTGTTCAATTCACCTTCTACTACTGCTTCTGCACTTATTCATCACCATGATCCTAAATGTTTTAGATACCTAAATTCTCTTTTGGAAACATGTGGGAACGAGGGTACTTTCATCAACTTTGGTTGGCCTGCACATCCATTCTTACATTGTTTCAAGTTGTAACACTTTTCTTATTCAATATTTCAGTTCCAGCAGTATACCCTCTTGATGTATATGCACGGCTCTGTGTTGTTGATAATGTTGAGAAACTGGGCATTAGTCGCCACTACAATGAAGAAATACGAACTGTGTTAGATGAAACTTACAGGTAGCCTTCTAAAAGCTCTACTGTTCATTATGGTAATTTTCTGGTAGATGAAAGATAGTTTAATCTCAAACAAGCTCCCATTCCCTCGTGGTAAAAAAAGCCGCTGGTTGCAGGGGGATGAAGAGATCTTTATGGATGCCTCCACTTGTGGTTTGGCATTCAGGTTGCTGCGAATGAACGGCTACAACATTTCTTCAGGTATTCATTGATTTGAAAGAACAATAACAGGTTTTTGCTTCCTCATATGATATACTCCCTCCGTCCCAAAAAAATGCCACATTACGCAAAGCGAAGCAAAATTCCAAGTTTTTCAGTTAATTTTATTTAAAGATTGGTATAGAAATAAAAAATAAAACTTACAGATTAAAAAACTACGTCAAAAGTTCTACAAAATAAGAGGTGACAAGAATATTTTATTTTATCAAATAATGAATAAAAACACACAAATAAATAAAAGTTTCCGTGATTTTTGAATAGTGAAGTGTAACATTCTTTTTGGGACGGAGGGAGTAAGTGACTAGATGGTCTGAAAAGTTTGATATATCAGTTCTGGACTACAGGTCCAGTTACTCACTTTCTGGAGGAGGGCATCTGCAATATTACTGCGGGTTATCCAATGGATGTATATGCTATGCTGGATCTCTATCAAGCACTGGAAATAATATGTAATTTTGATGAATATGTTTCTGAAAAACATAACAGGTGGTTTGAGATTTTGAGAGAGGAACTTTCTAGTGATTTATTATGTTCAGATATCCATACTAGACAGATTCATAAACAGGTTTTTTGAATTTCTTTTCAAGAGATTTGTGCTGAGTCAGTTTTTAGAACATTTGAACTTAACAAAAGTAAATAGTTATTATCTCATTTATAGGTGGAGGACGTGCTTAATTTTCCTTTCTATGCAAATTTAGAACGAGTTGCAAACCGAAGGTACATAGAGCATTACAATGTAGATAGTACCAGATTCTCCAAGACTTCATATGGGTAGAGCTCTTTATTTCTATGTGAAGCATGTATTTTCGCTTGAATCTTGTCAGAAAAGTTCACTGTCTAAGTTGGTTCTATTTCTTTTATGTTACCTGCAGTTCTCCAAACTTTTGCAATAAAGATTTTCTAACTCTTGCTGTTCAGGATTTCAACCTTTGCCAATCTATACATCATGAAGAACTGAAACA